TAGAATCTGGCCTCCTGACTCGATCTCCGCTCCACATTATGTCATTGAGAATGGCGGGAGATTCGGCGCGCATTCCGCAAAATTGCCGCGCAATTTCGAATGGGACATCGTCCACTTCGATTTCTTCGTCCGAGATTTCCCTCAGTTCTCCCCATGGACCCGAGGCGGCGTGCCAGCGCATCTCTTTCGTAACCTCTTGACAGTTGCTGCAGAATTCGACCGGCGAAGTCGGTGGCGTTGGGAACGAAAATGAGGGCCAAAGGTCTGAAGGGGCTGGGAATTCAAACTTGTCTTTAAACGAGGCAAGTGGTGAAGAACAAGGTGAAAGATTGAGTTGAGAACGATTCATCATCGTACGGCTTGAGATAAGAGGATGCATTCGAGTGTTCTCAACCCGATGCACGGTGTGTTACAAATGAATGAAGGTTTAACGGACGCACGTGTATTTAAAAGACCCACAGGTAAACAATACAAATTCAAATAAAACTCAGATGGCCAACCCACCTGGTCACAAAGCCATTTAAATGAACCTTAAATGACAGTGCACGTTCCGACACACAGGCACAATTTCCGTGCAGTTGCAAAGTCCTGCAGGGAAACAGATCAAACAATGCTGCAATGTGAAGTGCAAAAAAATTACTTTGCTGGTTAAAATCTTACTTCTTAAAGACGGCTGAAACTCTAGATTCGCTTAACTGGTGGCAACGATTTCCAATCAAAACACGAGGGAACGGCGAGCATTTAGAAAGGCACGCTGTAATGTTGCATAATGAAGGTGGCACCAGTTTCTTTGTTGGCGTTAACGTCGCCGTTGACCGGAGTTTAATTACAACTCTTAACATTTGACAAACGCGTGTTTATAGAGCGACCTGTCAGGCTGAATCGCCGTTCCTGAACGTCACAGGCGCTCGGTTCATCATTTGCAATTGACAACCAGCTACGAGTGCTACCTTAAAAAGAAATAGCAAAATATGAACCTTCTTCCATCATACGAGAGACCTTTCATAAAATAGAATTTCCTGAACAAAGCGATACACTTAGAAGTCATCGGAAGAAGAATAAACGCGGTTGTTTCAGCTAGATTAGAGTCGAAAGCATTTAATCGGAGGCTGATCGCCTCTGACTGCTCCAATCCTTCACAGACACCTTTCCACAAATCGTGTTTCTTTTGTTGGTGAAGAGGTGGGAGGCGCAGGTGTCGGAAGGATATAACACTGGTCACCAGCAGTGGACACATAAAGAACACACACACACAAAAACAATGAGAGCAATCTTTGACAAAATACTTAAGCAAAATCTCTGGTAAAGGAATCCAAGGATTAAGCAGGCATTTCTGTCAGGTAGTGATCCAACATCGCCCGCCTTAATGTAGATTGATATCGGCCCCGTTTGTTAATATGTATTTGTATCGCACTTAAAAGGTTGAAAATCAACAACTTTTGACAAAAGAGTAAACTTCTTATCTCCTTAGGGCTCGATTAACTAACAAAAATTCATACTTCCTCGCCAAAATGTCAAGGCACAGTCAAAACTGCAGGGGATTTTGAACCAGACAAATGTAAATTACTTTCAGAAGAACGGATCCTGCGAGTCAATATCCTTCAATCTGCATTCTAACACATGCAAAAAACGCACGATGAAAATCTCAAATAATTGTCGTCAGAAGAGTTAGCTGACTAATTCGATTGGTTTTCAACACCTTTGGCAAGTTCCATTTACAGCGGGCACCCCACATAAGAGTGCGAAATAGACGAAACATGTTGTAATTCCCGCCCACTACAAAATCTGACCGGTGGAAGCTACAAAATAAACACTGATTACTCTGGTTTCATGAAAAGCAAACCCGTGTAAAGTTGAAATGTACGAAAAATCGGACACTAATGCTTGAGGCGAAATGAGAACTGATAAAATTATTTGACTGGAATTAGCTTAGTTGTAATCTTAGTGAGGAGTTCGAACTCGAAGTTGGTTCTTGTGTTCAATGACACTGTTTTGAGACAGGTCATCACACAATTGACATCAGACCCATTTATCATACCAATTTTACGCTTGCCGAAAAAACACTGGATCTTTTAATGCATTCTTGTTAGTTCACTAACTTCCCCATGTAATTCAACCGGTGAAATACTTTCCACAATAAGAGATCACCAGTCTGGGGCATTTTTTTCCCTTTATTGGTTTAAAATGTAAATTCCGTCACTTTTATGGTAACTTTGACACCACACGAGTTGTTTTCATTTTATATTCTTATGCGGCATACGGTACTACCTTTGTCACAAAGCAGTGAAAATCCTGTAATGGCTCATACATCTCAGATTAAGAACACAATGCATGTCGAAATAATGAACAAAGAGCACCCGCTTTCACTTACATTTAAATGCAAAACGGTTTTAAATACCTTCCCTCGCTAAATTTAGACCACATGGAATATACCATTGAAGCGAGCAGAAAGCATTTTTTTGTTATACATGCCATAAGGGAATAACACGTAGGGCTTTCGAGATCATATTTCGAACTTTCCCAAATCGAAAGTAGAGTTCCATCAAACCGAACTTTTATTAACTGATGGTGAAACGAAACAAAAAAGGAGCCATTGCTTTTTTTTCCCCAATGCTATAAGAGATTTTTAGTGTCACCCATAGCCGTAATGAAATTTCATCTGTCAGGGATGCGTGCCCCATTATGGCTAAAGAATGCGGAATAAAAGAAAAAAAGCCTGAGATGGTGGATGAAGAAAACATTAAGGAAAGGGTACTATTGGAAAGGAAAGAAAGTGGATATTAAACCTCAAGATGTTGAGGAAAAAGGAAAAAAAAAAGGAGAGGACATAAAATAGCTCATAAAAACCAAAAGGAGTTACGGAATATTCAGCTCTCTCACGCGTCCTCGCTGGCGGTTTCACTAGGGCAGACGGGATACTCTAGACAATTCATCTCAACATGGAAACTTCGATTTTCATGACAATGATAAAGAGCCCTGTGACTATTGGGCACAAGTACATCTTAACAGATTCTGTTATCAAATTAGGTAGAAAAAAAAGCACTCGAACTTGTGACACGACAAGTAAGGCTGACAAGAGAGGGTATTGCTTCTCGAAACCGGACTGTTGACTCTGGGATATGAAAATTATATTCAGATGACATAAACCAGTTAAAAAACAATTAAAGTGACAATAACCATAAATTTGCCCCGGACGTAGAACTAAAAACTGCGCCAAGAGACTTCTCCAGTTAAAATTACAAATGGTTATTTTAGGTAAATATCACAAAGGTAGCTCCAGAGCTGTTCTATGTTCCAATTACCTCTGGTCAATATTAAGATTTGAGAAGAATTTATGTGGTCTTTCTGTAAAAAGAATTCCCTGAATACGTACATGACCTTTTTTAAAAACATCATCTTCAGTTGTTACAAATCTGTTTAGTTATAAAAATTCGTGCGGGCGTTGAAGGCATCGATCGCCTCATTGAGAACCATCAACGTGGGTGTACAAGCCAGGAGAAAAAAAAAAGATTGAAAAACAATAATGTTCCATTTGATTATGCCCGGCACCAGGGCTAAGATTGCTTGTAATCTGGTGTTACTTTGTCGCACTGGACATCTCTAATCCCTATAATCGCTCAGAGACCCGCCTGAAGCGTGCTTCTCATGGTTAATTGAGCTCTCACGGCAACTTGCTTCTCCAAAAGGGCGGCAAACAGCGTGGTTTCCTGGTAACCTGGCGTCAATTAATTGACCTGTGCGTGAAGTTTGCCTTTGACATCCAAGCGCGAGATAGGCGCTAACTTAACGATGTAAATATTTCATTCGAAGGTTGATTAGGCTTCTCTATCTCTTTTGGTACAAACACACGACTGAAAATATTTTTCCCAGTTTTGCTTCGTTCACTGAGAAAAAGCTAGGTCAGGCAAGACTTAAATAAAAAAAACATATATAAAATTTGAAAATAATTATACATTTCCTTTAGTTTTTGAGACTTCTCGTATGTTATGCGAAAAGATCTTGTACAAAGTTGCGACATGATAATCACTTCTTCACCTCTTTAATAGTTCCTTACGTCATAATAAAGAAAATGCTGGTTGTGACCAATACCTCGATAACCTTTAGATCCTGGTAGACACCATATGGATTAAATAACATGTTTTAAGCGGGACAATCTTCGCACGAAATGAGCGTTAAGAGATCAGAATGCAATGCCTTTTCAAGGTTACAAATCGAACACTGGCATTATTTTCCAAAAAAACGATAATAGTCGGACACTGTAGATAAATGATACTATGTACAATAGTAATATTTTGACAAATCAAGGGAAATAAAAACAACACAGCCTTGGTACTCACCAGGGATCAACACGACAGGTGAAAATTAATCACTTCTTTTTTATTTTGCCTCAACAACTTTTACTTCCTTTTTGTTAGTTCACAATTTCAGTAGAGTAGGCCTTGGCAATACAACTTCCAACGACAAGCAAAAACTTTAGGTTTTAGGGAGGAAAAAACTAAATGTTGACTTACATGAGACTTAAACACCATGGACATCGCCATAGGACAGAACTTCTCCTAAGCGATCATGATACGTATCCTTGGAATGGTAGTTAGGAGAATTGGTAATTAAATCACATAATTTCCCCTTTGGAGCACCTCTTTATATTCTCATCACTGATGTGCTTGACGCTATATTATATTTCTGCTTTGAGTGGAAACTCATAACCGATGAGACTTGGTTGAATTAATGTACAATTAAAAGGAAAAAAAAAAGAAGAAAAAATGACGTAGGAAAAGCGACATCTTTGCGAACGGATATAATGTAAAAAGTAGTCACGAATAAAGCGATCAAGTAGACTGACGTATTATTTTAAAATCATCATTTTTCAGCAAAATGGTGAGGGAGATGACAACATTCTAGTAACAATCAAACTGCTCAATGTTTTCAAGTTTACAATAAAGTACAATGGATATTAAGTCAAACGTTAAATCAAATTATCCTCACACATTTTTCGTCAACTAATCTCCTGAAGTTATTTTTTGTAGTTTTTCCAAAAGATCTATATTTCTTTGCCTTTCGGCTCTTTTTCTGTTTTCTAGCTCTATCGATTCCTGTTCTAACAGGACAATGTACTGGAATGCCTTCTGCAATATGACAATTTTCGAAGCTTTCTCTTTGTCTTTCAATTCAGGCAAGGTCAGGCGAAGATTTTGAAAGCGTGTTTTCATATTAGTTCTTCGCTGTTTTTCCATATCGTTGTGAAGGTCCCGTGTTTCTCCCTCAAGGTTACCTTTCTTTTTTAAACGCTTCGATTTGTGGCTATCCTTCGGTCTTTCACTATTTCCCATAAAAAACGCCGAACGGTTAGCATTCGGAGAGGCAGTTGTCTTTATTTCAATGTTAGTTTTCTTTGGATTACGCTGCAGTTCCCGTTCTCGTCTCTGCGTGCTTTTCCATAAGTCATCCTGCACGCTGCATAGACTTGAGTCCAGTTTGGAAAATACTCCATCGCTAACAATCAAAGTCTCTGCACGAGCAAGTTGAAGAGCTTCGTCGCTGCCTTTAACTTGTAACTGCTTCTTCGAGGGAAGTTCTTTTGCAGGGTTGTGATCAAAAAAACTGTTTGTAAAGCATTCTTCTGGCAAAATGCGACTAAGAGAATGATCTGTATTCTCTCCCAAGGTCGGCGGGAATTTGGTGACGCTTTCGATGAGCTTGGAAGAGTTTAACTGAAATGGTAAGGTTTCACAAAAGGTTGGACACCCTGAAAGAGACATCGAAGCCTTCGAAATGTAATTTCGATCTACTGTATTCACCGCCTCCAAGAAAAAAGTGTTTTTTAGGGACTTCTGAAGATTGTGGTTATTTTCTGCACCAGTGACGGACAGTGATACCGGCGTATTCTTATCAACCACATGTGGTGATCCATTACCTTCGTGACAGAAATCTCCTCTCCCAAATAGTAATCTTTCTCCTGGATCAAATTACACGAATCAGGAAGATTTTTCATCCTGAAAGTCGCCGTAGGTAGCTCAAACATATTAGCAGATGGGTCAAACTGTTCATGACTACCGTTTGGTTTTAAGAACACGTTAAAATTCCCAAACGATTCTAAAGTATTCTTGCTTTCTGACATGGGAACAGAATGACTGAAACTTTGTGCTTGAGTTACCAAGCCACCACTGTCTCTATGCTCGGGTAAGAATTCATCCGAACTTGTTGGAAACTTGAATACCGTCGAATCGTCAACAAGAGTGCTATACAGACGATCAACGGGGATCGGTGTTAGAACACAGGGAAAATAAATCTCCAATTCGTCACGCTCAGAGTTCCTCCTTTTCAGAAGCGATCTGTCAAAGTTTCTACGTTGAAGACCACAAGTATCAGTGGGAGATTCGAATTCGGTGATAAACTGTACGTGGGATCGAGTATTACTTTCATCCAAGTCAACATGAATTGTTTCTAAAATGTCATTGAAATTAGGAACCACCTGGGCATCGTCAGCCGCAAAGGAATGAGACTTCCCGCCAAAAATACTGCCATCCGTTTCATCGTGACCGAAACTCCCGCCAAAACTGGTCTCTCCGATCGACACAGCTTCGTAAACACTTCCGTTCGATTCGAGAGAATCACGACTTTGCGAAAAAAAGGGTGTACGGTATGGAGAGGTACCGACGGTTAAACTTTGCTTCAGGTTGCTGTTGGTGTTGACATCGTTGTGGTAGCGAGGATTTTCCTGTTTTTTGAACTCGAAAATTTCATCTGAAATATATTTCGGCGAAGAATTCATAGTTGGCGAAAGCGAGGATCTTTCACGCCGCTTTTATTATCGAGTAACTAGGGAATGAAACACACCTCGCTGGAATGATGATATGATGACACAAGCTTTCGGACCAATAAATAAGGCACATTTGCATTCACTTGGATGATTTCAACTGTCAAATTAAATGGAAAACATTGCCATCAACGCCCACGCTCTGAGTTTAGCAAAATGGATTCCAACATTGAGACAACGGTAGAAACTCTTCAGTCTAATTAATTAAAGTTATACTTTACAAAATGAATAGAAGACATATGAAATCTAACAACGGTAAAACGAAGAGATAATCAAATTTAGACGCAAAAAATTAAAAAACATGCAGATATTACGTGGGGGAAAATGTTGCAGTAAAACAGAACTAAGTAAACATCTACTTCGTCCACCTGCCAATCATGTGACTCGAACAGCTGCCACGGTCACGTGATGTTTTTTAACAGAACAAGTATTTTTTACCAAAACATTACGGGTAAACTGCATAAAAACATCAAAAGAAAGAACTTCAAGGAAATGCAATCGATGCTCGATATTTAAATCGCACCTTTGTTTTCTAATTTAGGTTGAAGGCACAGCGCTAATTTTCTATGTAGAAGAAAAGGTATGTCATCGTATCTCTCAAACATGAGGATCTCCTGAAGACAGGCAGTTTTATTCCTGTGGCATGAAAGTTAAAAAAACTTATGTCTGGATGTGAAGTCATAATTTTTAGAACCCTCAAGTTATTTGAAGAACGCAAATTAAACTGATTGTTATGCTTCAAATTACCTGGATGCACACGGAAGGTTTTCCACCCATAACTGCCGAATGCTATGCCCTCCTGAGTCACACGACTGAATTATTTTGGTTATGAAAGTACATAAAGAACTCTCCTTGCTGAGATGTATCACTGACAAAAATTTGAATAAACTATTTCAAACCGAAACAAATGAAATCAATACTCATATCTAAGTTATATTCTGCATAAATCTTAATGTATCATGATCGCATCTTTAAGAGCTGTAGGGTTTCGCAAAATATACAAAGCATTCTAAATACTGTATGACTGTTAATTTACCATGTTCGCAAGCGAACTTCAGAAAGAAATATATATACATTCGTATCATCGCAAATAACTCTCACATTCACTAATGTCGATAAATAGTTTGTTGCGTTTAGTTTTGTTTTGATAGTGTCATTATTTGTCTTTGAAAATTGAATCATCACAGAAGGATTTCTCGAAATTTCTAATCCTAATTTTACTAAAGTTTTATTCAATACAAGAAAACAAATAAACAGTGCCGCGAAACTTCCTTTCCCAGTGTCACTTCCTGTGACACATCAAAAACATCTGACAAAATTTTTGGAAAATTAAAGAATTGGACGCTGCGAGCTCTAGTGAGGGTTCTACAAAATAAATGTTGATTTAATGAGACTGGTCACTCCCACTCACTAATGTACAATGTGACAAATCTCGCACAAGTGGCATGTCTACTACAAGGTATAGATTTTCGTTATTACCTCACGACTCAAGCATTTTTACACGCCTCGGGCGTCGAAAATCGAATATGCCTGAACAAACGCATTTTCAATTATCACATCATTCCTGAAATCCGAAGCCACAAAAAACATGTTTTCTATCATAGATGCTACGCCATAAAAACCAACAAAACAGTTTTTGTTAAACCAGGTTTAATTCAATAAAAATCACCAACAGAAAATCTAAAAACTGAATTTTACATAGTGTTTATATCATCGCTAACTTGCATTTTCATTGTGCTGGATGCAACTTTTAAATTGCGTATAACAAAACAGCTCTGGAGTTTTTGCTCTTTGGTTTGAATTGGGTATAAGTTACAGGTTATACAATAATTATGGTATCTTATGGTCTATGTAAATAGCACCGTTCGCACGCGTAACAATGTATTTAATATATGATTTTCCTAGTATTTACTTTTCTTATCACTGAAAGCAGCAGAAGTAACTCCTAAGTATAATAAGACAGACCATGGATTGATATTTATCACTGTATTATCACTGTATGAGTACTAAATACAGCATCTCTCATGCAATAAAGTTTCAGCATGAAATGAAAAACGTATTAACGAAGCCAAAACCTTACTTACTTCCGAGAGAAGAGAAAAGAAAACTGAATTTTCCCCTGAATTCTTGATGAAAAACATAAAGCATAGCACGTTGGAGAAGATAAGGAGATGCAGAAGAGTATATTACTTTATTTTCAGGAGAGATGTTTTGATGTTAATGGAGGGGTGCCGATGATTTTGTACTGCCTTCAGTTAATGAAATCCAAACAAACCAATAAAAATTACATCCTTAGGGTTTTTTTCTAATACACAGCATGTGCAGTAACTATTGGCATGTACATGATCAGGGTCATACTTTGGCTACCTCTATTCACAATCGCCTAATGAAAGTTCCAAACTTGGAGTACTGCATGCAGAAAAGCGGCTCAGAAAGGAGGAGCAAACATGGAAACACCCACTGGACCCAGCATTTCTCTCTAAATTTGCAAGTGTCTCTTGTGTATCTTGGACAAAATTTGTTAGAAAATTCTTAAAAATATCTAAATTCACATAACAGGTTTAAGCCCTCCTAATTCCACTTTTAAAGCATGATATTACTTCATTGCAACTGTCATGGGGCTGAGGAGGAGGGAAGGGGGGGGAGGGGAGCACAAAAGTCATGAAGAGGAAAATATTCCCACCATTAGCTTGTAACCAACTGATGGATGTGGCACTCACTTCTTGTAAACAAAAACATACCGGTAATCACTAGAGATCTCCTAGCCCATATAAGACGTACAAATTGAACTACATGCATCTATGTTTTCACCTATTTCATATCACAATTAAAAGGACGGTTATGTGTTGAACCTCCTTTAGTGTCATAGATCAAAAAAATTGTGCTTTCTTATTTCCATCCCATAGAAGACTGTTAATTTGGCAACTTCAGTGAAAGTCATCAGTTAGCCACTGTAAGTGATGACTTTCCTCTTCAGGACTACTGTAAACCAGCTAATCACATAACACGATTAACTGTTCATAGGATGTTGAAAAATTCATTTATAAATCAAAAGATAATTATTGGATGCTGGTATATTTGTTGGGGATCAATATCCTATGAAAACTTTCATTTTCCTTATACACATATTCCAACCAATCATTGCATATAATCATGCACAAAAACAAATGAGGAAAAAGAAAGAAACCAAGGATAACACTGCACCACAATTATATTGTCAAAAATTTTTACTTGTAAAATTCTTAGTGGTACCAGTGGAAAATATGAGTGTTAAAACTTACCCTTCTCCATTGTTTAAACTTTGTCATGTTCTCTTTTCACAACAGCCTCTTTTATATTTGTATTTGATAGTCCCAATCCACCTAGTTCAAAGAAAAAAAGAATGAAATCCCTATTTAAAAGGAAAAACTTAATCAGTAGCAAATTTACGTTACACCTTATAGACACTTCTTTATCCTCTGTGCTAATAAAAATTCATTAGTAATACCTGTCTGTATTGTGACTGTCTCATAAGTCTGTTAAAACACCACCTTTTTTTTCTTTTAGATCATAATTCAGGGCCTGGGAAAATGAAAGGTGTGCTGTGCTCATTATCAAACCTGGGCTCTGCACTTCTCTGCTCAACTAAGTGACTAAAGTACATGGCTCCAGATGGACCATAATTTTCAAGGGCTCACAAAAAGTGATCGCATCTAGCAAAACAGGGAGGTTTCAAACCTAGAAGAAATTTCCTATAAATACATGTATTTTAAAGAGCTGAGGAATACTGCTCCTTCTTTATATACCAAAATGGAGTTAGTACTTACAAGAGTAAAATGGCTACAGATGAACCATAACTTTCAAGGAATTACAAAAATTGATCACATCTAGCAAAATAGGGCATTTCTAGACTGTAAAATGCAAGATATTTACCATAAATGATAGTATTTTTGTGTGCTGAGGAGTACTGCTCCTTCATAATATCAGAGAGGTTAACTAAATTTTTGCAAGAACTATATTCATGCCTTTTAGTAGTTTAAAACCTCCTATTGCCAACTGATGTTCTCCAGATGTAATTTTGAGAAAAGGTTTCATACACTGCATAATGATTTAGCATTGGTGTTCTCCTAATCCCTCTCAAGGAGATGGTAAGAGAAAATGTCTAGAACAGAGATACCTACATGTAAGTGATGCTAGACCAAATTTTGGAGACCAATTTTCATGACATAACATTGGAAGGAGAAAAGTAGAGTGGACTGTCACTGACAAGGGGCACCCTCAGATACTTTGAGAAAGCCTAACAAACAAAACAGGAGGACAAGGGGCCTTGGTCAAAATGGATTAAAATAGATTGAAACAAGCCAAACAGAATATTTACTTCCCATTGTGAAATCAAGGGGTGCTCTGATAGCACTAATATTGTCAAGATCTGACAAAAACAATTTTAAATTGAACAATGTTTTTCAAGTCGGTGAAATGTACCATGTTGCAATGGGAAGAATGTCACAATTAATTTTAAAACAAAGCCCATTTGTCAGACTTTTCTTCACTTGATATTTTCATCACTCTATTTTATTTTCTTCTGCTCCATCCAGCCAGTGTAGCTGAATACTCTAAACTCAACAGCTGACTTGCCCATATACTAAATCAAAGAGACATACGGATGCAAATTGTCAAAAGTTGATTGCTGGGTTGGAAAGAGAACACACATCACGAGCAATTTGAGAGTTAAATCGAACTGAAGTGATTAGAAAAATTGAAAGTTAACAGTGAACTGGTAAAAATTAGTTAAACATGAGAACTCAGTACAGATTGGAGCATGGCAAGAAAACCTTCCTTCCAATTATACATGTATACATTTTCCCCCAAAGGGTGACCAAAAAGGAATTTCTCCCAACAGTATCAATATATATTTAAGTTGAAAGGTGATGAGAAAAAATAAAAATCAACTGGTTATAAAAAATGTGACTCAATAC